TCTTCTTAGCAAATCATGATCATGATAAGTAAATATATTATTCATAATTCGAGAAGACCTTTCAGTTCTCTAATATAGATAAAAACTAAGAGATTGATGAATTTGACTACTGACTGAGAAATCAAATTGAATTGCATAATTATATATTTCTAATGTACACTCTTGATTTTCCTCAAAATATATCCTAAAATACAAATGTATTACACGTCTATATTTGCTAAAAATATAGTTTAATCTACTACTATCAAAGACATCTACTAGATCAATCTGCATGGGATGAGTTGTCATCTTTACTACATGCAGGATGATGTAAGGGTGAACATCTAACCCATTTTACAATACAATACAAAATATTGTAACATTTTCAAAATAACATCATGATTATACTATTAGATAGCATTTTATATCACATTATCACACATTACATATCTCATTCATCATTTACATTTACACAATCTCATTGACATTTCCATTTCTAAATTCACACTTTAAGTGCACTAGGATCACATTCATCAAATGCTTCTAGCAGTTCTTAAGGTCCTACTCAATCATGTAAATAATTGCTGATTAGCTCCCATAATACAGACACAACATAAGTGCTTACGAGCCCCCATGTGGCACAATCGCACTCAACAATAATATGTGCACGATCGTGACTGTCGCTCATCACCTTACATTTTTTCTAGATTTTCTTATCGTCTCCAGAATCTATACTCCCAATATATCTCTGTAACTATTTACACCAGACTATTTAGCTTTCTCAATCATTTCTCATTTTCATCACTAGATCGTGCTTAATAGCACTTCTAAACTATTTTCATTGCTCATTGCTTACTCATGATATCAATAATCATATCATTTAACAAATCATCCATGACATATTCATCATTTCAGACATATCTCAACAATTATTCATATCATAGTTAATATATTCATCAAAAATCACTAAAACTAGTTTAATCATAATATCATATCATCATATATTTCATATCTACACCATAAAATCAATCAACCAAACCATCAAATATATGCACATTAGCAATCTTTCTTTATTAATAATCATTACACATACATATTTCATCAAAATGAATACATAAAACATGCTCTCATGGACTCAACACATAATTCACATCACACAATAATAGAATAGAGCTCCCCTTATCTTGTAATGAGGATCTAAACAAAGATTGGTGATGAAGAACGTCCTAAAATAGCTCTTTTACCTAAATAACACAAATTTATCTCTTAATAACGAGATTCAAAGAAAACGAACGGTATGGACATGATTAAGCTCAGAGAAGCTTACTTAGAATCGTGTAGAAAGAACATAGAGGGGAAATAATCAGTGTTTAGAGAGATTTTATCTGAGAAAATGTAGAGAGAGTTCAGAGAAAACAAAGTCTGGATGGGAGAGAAAGTGAATAAATGAAGTTTTCATGCATGATAAGTACCCTCAGAATTGCGACATTCTTGCTACAGTGAGAAATTACTCGTAATACTCCTCGCTACAGCGAGTCAATTCTTGCTACAGCTAGAGATTGTCATTACAACAAGACGTTTTCTCGCTATAGCGAAAATATCAGACAAAATTGCATTCTATTTTTTGCACTTTTCGCTACAGCGAGAATACTCCAGAATGTTCCATTTTCACCGCCTCTCTCTCTTTATATAACGAGAATCATCTCACTACAGCGAAAACATTACAATTCAACATTTCAAAAGCTCTCCCAACATACTCTTACATGCATATTTATCATATAATGCAATTTTAATTAATACAAAAACAGTGATGTTACAGTATAAACTAAAGAAAAGTGTTATGCAGAGAAATACAAATTAAACTCACCATCAAGATAAGTTAAAAGAGATTACGGTGATTCATGATAAGTTATCAAATGCAATTCATTAGCTTTAAATAATATAATTGCAAATTAATATGATTATAAAAAATATTATGAAAAGTTGGTAACCAAGAGTTTTGTAAAAAAAATATTTTGGTGTTATCCTTATAGTATTTTTGTGAGATTATTTAGAGATAAAACTTCTATGCAGTACTTTTGGTGCTTCTATCCAATTAAAATTAGACATTTATATCAGAAATTAATATTAACCTCTAACATTAACCTTTATTATTTTATTAGTAATTGAGATAAAGATTTATTTTAATTATAAATTAACCTTTTTTTTGCTATTTATTATAAATTAACCCTTAAATGATTGTATTTAAGTTTTATTTATAACATAAATAATTCATCATAATTTTATTTAAAGGTGTGAGCAAATTTAATTATAGAACTTAACTTAAAGAATAAAGATAAAGAGGAAATTCTCACTACTCTCTCAAATAATAATAATAAAAAATTTAGCATTTAAAAATTATTTCACTTTCTCTCATTTTAATATGTCATAATAAAAAAAAAATTTACCTGAATTTTAAACACAATCTTCTCTTAACTATATTAAGTTAGGACGATGTTATTTAAAATCCTTAAATCATTTTTTATAATTTATTATGAATTATTATAACATTTTAAACTTGTGTTTGATGATAAAAGAAAATTTTAACTTCTATAATTTTTTTTTATTTTGTTCCTTGAATAGTTGAATGAAATAATTTTTTTTATCCCTTTAATTAATTTTTTCATATAAGGACTCAAATAAAAATTATATTATTTATAAGGACAATAGTAATATATATATATATATATATATATATATATATATATATATAGAAATTAAAAAGACATAAGTAAATGTAAAATTGTTGTAATGAAAGTTAACGTTAAAAACTATTTTAAAAACTAATTTTAACGTAAATAAATGAATAATTATATATATTATCTTGAAAACATATAAATAAGAAAAAGTATTATAAATGGTTAATTTTAGTGAGATTATTGATAGATGGACAAAACTGAAATTCCACATGGAAATTCCTTATTATCTCAAGCGTGTTGACATTCAGTTGCCTTTAATTGATGACAGCCTTCAATGTGTAAATTCCTTGGAAAATTCACAATATTAAATATTTTTTATGTTTGAATTACAAGAATTTGAAATTATATAAAATATTATACATAATTATTTATATTATAATTTTTATTAATATATTATAAACATATACTTAAAAAACAGGAGATCGACAATAAAATTATTCAAAAAGAATTATATTATATTATATATTCTTAATTAGCTTTAATTATTTTGAAAATATTTTTTAAAATAAAAATCATCTTACTTTCTTGTTTCCTTTATTGACAAGAAAGGTATTCCCTACGACTTAACTGAAATGTGTAGTCAGAAATGCTCAAGGCATTTCAAGTCTTTAGCCATTTCAAGGCACCGACACGTGTTGCATTTCCTCATGTTTATATATTACAATTTAGAAGTTTCTATTTGAAAATATTTATGTAATTTTATTTTTTATAATTAAATGATACTCTTCATAATAATTGATTTCAAGTCAGAAATTTCACGACATTTTTTTTTATTCTTTCCATATTCATATGATATAAGAAAAAGGATTTGACTTCTAAGAAACAAAAACAAATATAATTTAGAAGATAAAAAAATCGTACATATATTTTATTTTTATTATAACAATTTTTAACTAACCACTTTTAAAATAGTGTAGTTAGAAAAAGATAATACTAAAATACAAACTGATTTTCATGAATGTGTCAAAACGGAGAGAGAGAGAGAGGTAAAAATTAAATTACGGTTAGAGTGATTTTACTTAATTATGTTTTATACATATTATTAATCTAATTATTAAATAATATATTATTAATAAATTGATTACACATAAAATTTTAAATGAATTAAATATTTATAAATATATAATTTTATAATTAATATTTATTTTAAAATATATTATATATTAAATAAAGTTATCTAATAAAATGTTATTTAATGTTAAATTTTTGTAATTTTATAAATTGAATATTCATAAATAAAAAAAAAAACTTTCTAACATAACTTAATTTTTAATGATATATGTGTGCGCCCGTGGATGCGCGAGTGTCTCCAAAAATGTATCTATGTTTAAAGGGAATTGAAAACAGTGAGTGAAATATTTTGTATATTAATAATATGATGTAAATAAAGGGCAAATCTGTCATGGAAGGAACGTTCCGTATATAGCATGATAATTTCTCATTCACGTAATGTATTAACAGAACAGCTCTTAGAAGAAAACAAAACAATATCTGAAAAGTATTTTCATGGAATCCTTATATTCTTGCATAGTGATTATGACGATGTTGTCGCATATATTACTAGTCTATAGAAAGAGAGAGTAGGACTAGAAAGAGAAAAAAAGGTCAAAGTCTGGCACTACAGACATTATTCCTCCATTTGAATAAGAAGAAGAAAGAAAATAAAAGGATCAAAAAATTTAATTTAAATTTTAAAATAACCAAGTAAAACAATTCATTTTTAAATGATTTTTCTCTTTCATTAAATAAAAATATGTTATTATTCATTTTCCCCCCTCGTTTAAATCAAACTTATAATATATATATATATTGGCATAGGCATAATCATTTCATGAAAGGTAAGGGCAAAGAAAAACAGAGTTGAGAAGCCTCCTCGTGATTTTTGATTTCAGAAAAAGCATTGTGCTTTTTGAGATTTGAGTTCCCTGTGATTTTTCTTTTTCAATTTTTTTTTCCTTTTTGTCATTTGGCAAACACACAGGGAAGCAGCAAGCAACAGCACCTACAATAAGGTATTATCAGTGACATGTTCAGGAATTTGCAGCACTTCTTCCCTTGTCTTGTCCTTTTCTCTCGATATTTTCCCCTTTCACTATGATTATTCTGTGTTCTGTTGCTTAATTTTTTCTGTTTGCTTAGGGAGAAAAGTGACATGGCATGCTCTTTTTTTTCTCTGTTATATATAGGAAGTGAAGGAGAAGGTGTGGTGCAAAAATAGGGGGTTTTGTGAAGACCCTGTTGGTTTGAAAAGAGAAAGTTAAGATCTTTGAAGAGAAGTAAAAAATGGGTAGTTATAGAAGGGAAGGTGTAGTGAGGCAGTATATAAGATCAAAGGTTCCTCGTTTAAGATGGACCCCTGAACTTCATCGTTGCTTTGTTTATGCCATTGAAACTCTTGGAGGTCATCACAGTAAGTGCATTACTGTGTCCCAAATTACTATTCCACATTTCTCTTTTGATTTCAGATTTCTTTATGTGTTTTATGCTATGATGAATTTCGGATTCAATATTTACAATTTCTTCATTTTTATGTGTAGAGGCTACCCCTAAGCTTGTTCTTCAGTTGATGGATGTTAAAGGCCTCACTATTTCACACGTCAAGAGTCATCTCCAGGTTGCTTTTAATTTTCCAGCATAACAATTTTAAGAAATTAAGAATCTTACTACTCAATACCTTAATAGAAATTACTGTACTAGTTGATATATCGAAAATCACAGCAAGATGCATTGATATATATTTCTAAGAAAACACTCATTTTTATTCTATAATCTTTTTAAAATACAAAAAAGAAGCATCAGTATGTATAAAGTTCATTACAAATGACAGAAAAAGTTGTATTAATAACATTATATAATATTTTTTAATAGTTTTAGAATTTTTAATTCATTAACACTTCTCAGTTCTGGAAATATTAGCAATAAGGGATTATGTTTCACTCTGAATATTCTCAAAGTGCTCTTACGCTGGCAAGTCTCTAACTTGGTGTTTCTTGGGTTTATTTCTTTTTCAAAATCAGATGTACAGAAGCATGAAAGGTGACTTGGGCAGACAAGGTAATAAACGTTGTTTGACCTTCGTTTACTGCAACACGTGTACTTCTTGGAGCTTTATTTTCACTAAGAATCATTCTTGGCTCTTACACATGAAAATTTATTGGATAATCCAAAAAATATTAAGTGTACCAATAGTCTCTCCCTCAATTATGCATGACCGTATTTTTTAATTAACAAAAGAAAACTAAAATTTTACTGCATATTAAGAAAATAGATTGAAATTATAGACACGTCACGTGGTGTTTCAGATCATCAAATAATTTCTGCTTATAAAGTCCTTTCTATATCCACATATTTGATCTCCTCATTCATTTTATTTACAAAGACGAGAGGTTGCACCTGGAGCAAGAAAAACAAATTTATAACAGTAGTAGTAGTAGATGGTTCATATATATTACGTTGTAATCTTGCTTAACTTTAGTGAAAGTTAATTAACTAAAATAATAAATATATTTAATATCTTGTTTCTAGTATTTAATACTCTCTTCATCTTATATTATAAATCTCTGAGTATAGTTTTAGTTTATTTCAAAATATTTATCATCTTGAAAAACTAAGATTGTATTAATTATTTTTTAATAATTATCCTTATTTATTTGTATCTCCTTATTTATTTGTATCTCATCTAAATACTTAAATAATTTACAACTATATTTTAACTCTTTTAATATGAGTATATATTTTGTCAAAAAAAAAAAGTCATTTATGCAATTAATAATTTTTTAAGTAGTGTTCATTACCTTAAAAGATAAATAAACGGAATATTTAATATTCATTATTTAATAGTTAGAAAGAACATAGGTATAAAAGGATTAATATTCATGAGAGATGAATTCATGATCGTTTATCCACTCTGCAGGTCGTACACTGAATAATATAGACGCTTTTATGCATTGAAGGCCTGCTGAGTGCAGATTCACTCAATTGTTGTTTCCTTTATTGTTTATTAGTCGTAGTTCAAATCAAAGCTAAAAGCTGGCCTCCATGTATGAGTTTGGCAAATGTGCTGGTTTATTAGTCCCTTTCGTATGTATAGTTGATGCCAGAATAGACAAGGAAGAATGATAAGCCAATGTTCTTCTAAAATCTTCTTATAATGGCATTTCGATTAAATTCCCAACTTTTCTGCTTTCAACATTTAAGATGGGTTCATTATTGTCTTGTGTACAAATCAAAGTCCTATTAATGCTTTGGACCTATAAGCTCTTGATTGTTTCCAACGAACATTAATTTACTTTACTCAATATGTGTTGGTTTATCTGTGACAGATAGGACTTCCACCCAACATAGAAAACAATCTTTTCAGGAGCATGATAATGGATATGTTGATGAAGTGAATGATGTTGGTGTTCACCCTTGTTTAAAACCCACTGGAAAAGAATCTGATTCCCTCTTCAGCTGCAGTAATTTCTCCCCAAAAAGGTCAGGTTAACTTTGAAATAATTTTTCACTTTTCAAATGGCTAAAAATGTGGGGAAGGATAAAGAAAAAAGTGATTGGTCTGAGCTTGATATTTGGCTTTCTGAGTCATTTTTTCTTAAAAAATATAATAAAATAATACTTCTTTATGTTTGGATTCTCCTCAGAGCTAGAATCGATAAGACAAGTTCCCTCTCAGGAATCCTACAATGTAGCCAAAGAATATGTGAAGCAGTTCCAAATCCATACACTACTTTTTATGATTATTGCCTGCAGACCATAGCTGAGCAGAATGGAATAAAGAAGATTTGTGTTGGTTCAATATGGCACACTCAACCCTTTTCCACAACCTTCCCTATGCTACCAATGCAAGAATCAGATTTGCTCCAGGTACTCATTCCATACAGAGACAATCTATCTATTTTTTTGTACTTCATCTGTCCTGCTATATTTGCTTTTTACTAGGAGTGGAGTGCAATATTGGTTATGGGCTTCATTTCACTGCCATGTAGCCCATCTAGGCCTCCAAGTCCAACACCCTTCACTGTTGACCAGTAAAAGTCATGGAAACCATGGGCTTTTAAGCTCTTCACTGAATCTTTTCTTAAATAAATAGAAAAGTAGACAGATTCTCACACACAGACAAAAAAAAAAGATATATTTTTGACAACTACTAGTTTTGCTCCTTTAATATAAAATGATTTTTCGTTTAAAATGTGCTACTTTCTCATGGGTATTTTTTTTCCACATCCTTGGACAGGTTACCAACTTAAATGACAAAAAACCTTCGAATGAACTTGGGAACACGAGGAGGGTATTACGTGCGGAAGATGAAGACATAGGAGGTTGTGAGTTGTCATTGTCGATTCCATTGCCAGGTGCTCATCCTTCTTCTCACAAAAGTAACGCTTCTTCAGCAAGTGAGATCAGTGAGGCAATCTCGTTAAGCCCCGACTATAGCAATTACGTGGGTTGCTCTAATTCTTCTACTCTCCAAAACACAATTAATTTAGACCTATCTTTAGCCATTTGAATATTGTTTACCTGTATTTCATGGATATGACTGTACATAAATGAATGCTGCTACTAATATACTAATTAAGAAAGGTACGTACTATATCTATTAGAGCAGTAGTATCAACTCGCGCTATAACGTGGTTTGCTGAACTTTGTTCTCAGCTCAAACCCATATAAAAAAGAAGCAGGAAAGTTAAGGGGTAATTACCTTACCTTGATAAACCTTCAATTATTGTAATTATATATCGTTTTTTCAATCATATCATATATATATAGTAACATACTTTTTTTTAACACACTTCTAGTGTAGTAAAACTCATAATTTTTAATAAATTCTAACTAATAATGAATAATGAGTTAGAAAAAATATTAAAAAAAATTAACATTTCTCTTTATAATAAAGGCTTATCTATAAGCTTAACCTAACCTAAATGTTATCACTATGTTAAGCTAAAATAAAAATAACTTGACCATGAGATAATAAATATCTAAAATAATAAGTAAAGATAAATAATTTCTAATAAAAAGTCTATCAAAATCCTAATAATTAAATAATACACTTAATCAGACCTGTTATCTAACCTGTTATGCTTATTCTCCGACAACCCTACTCACCACACCTTGGAAAGAGTATCACTTTCATTGGCTGTAATCAACAATTAGCATCTATTTTAGTTGGATATCAATAATAGATTCTTAAATTCTTGAATGATGATTTATTTGAAAATATTTATACAAATATTCCTTTGACGTAGCTTTTACACTTGAGGGAAGAATTTGGGCTTGCAAGCTAAACCAATCCGTTTACGAATTAATGCAAACCTCATAGTAATGGTTTATAAAACTTTTCAATACATAGGTATATAACAAATTAATTTCACTAATCGTTAAATGACTTCACGAAAATAAATAAGCAGTTATTTCTTTTCTTTTTCTGGTAATAAGCGGCAATTAATTTAATTGTGTATTTCAGTGATATTATACTTGTTAGTTAAAACATTATTATTATTAAATTAATGAAATCATTTCTAAAATCTATCTGCTTATATTTTCTCTGCCAATATATTTTTGAATGGTTGGTATGGTGAATGATGTAAGACCTTCATTTTATCAAGTAGTGTTCATAAGAGAAACTTCTGTGATCAGAGTTATTAATTGATAGTGTCGCATAATTATATTCTTACACACAATAAGTGTAATATCCTAAATTTTTATTACTTTTAAATTAGTTATTGATAATATTAATTTAAATAAATTAAAATTAAATAATGTATAAAAATTTAAAATTAAAATATATTTAACAAAATATACTTAAAAAAGAGCAATTAAAAAAGAATCAGAGAACATAAGTATTAGATAATCTAATTTTAAGTAGAGATTAATTATTTAAAATAAAATTATTTTAAATAATTTTAGACTACTAAATTAGAGATTACAAGAACTATATTGGGTTGGAAAGAAACAAAAATAGAAAATAAATGCAAGATGTAAAATTTGGTCAAAATGATCAAAATACTCTTAGAAGGACTAAGAATGTTTTTTGGACAAGCAAATAACCAAGGAAAATTCTAAATTTTTAATGATAGATAGCCCTTATATACATCATGTGGGACATGCCAAATAGAAGCCCAAAAAGCTTAAGAAAAATCACACAAAAATCTTGCTTAGGAAGTTAGGAATTAATGTGAATTTGAAGATTAATTATGAAAAAACTTAATCAACCATCCAAAGAGCCAATTTAAGGTCATGTGCACGATAATTATGCTCAAAAGATAAGACAAAGTACAAGAATCAAGAGCCTTATCTTAGCTAAAGGAGGATTAAAAATATGACTAACCATTAAGATTCAACTTTCACCCAAAGTTCAAGTAAAGAGTCATGACTATCCTATCCAAACAGAACTAGAAAGTACACTCTAAATTAACAAAAAGAATCAAGAAACAAATAGAAAATTTGAAGTGAAATTAGATAAAAATAGAAGTACAAAAAGTCATGATGGAGGACATTTAATGACCTTGATGTCTTTGCACATGTGTAGTTGTGTGATGGAACACTCAAATAGACTCAAAATTAAACTCAAAACACTTGACATAAATAGGGAGCATTTCACATGACATTGAGACAATTCATGTAAAGTGAGAATCTTTCATCAACCTTAGCCAATTTAGCAACATTAACACACCCTAAACCACCAGAAAGAAATTATGCTTCGCTTTGAAATATGTGAGTGCTTGATTTTTGGCTGTATTATTTTGTGAAACTAGAAACCTAAAGGAAAAGAATGTAATTAATTACATGATTTTTGGTGTTGTAATGAATGAGTAATGATTTTTCTAATAATCTATTGTTGAAATGAAACAACCTATAACTTGTAAATAGAAACTAAGACTTGAAATGATTGATAAGTAAGTGTTTAGATTATGTAGGTATTTTTACTTGAAAACAAACATACAAAGAGAAGAATAATATCATTGATTTCATGATTTCAGAATTAAAATGAATTAGTTATGAATTTTTCAATATGTTGGATACTGAAAAAAAAAATCTGTGAATAATGGATAGAAATTAAGCTTCCTTTAACTCACTGTAAGTGTCTAAATTATGGTTGCATTTTTATGTTGAAGTAAACACTTAAATAAAGAAAACTTTAAGAATTTCATAATTTTTAGACTTATATTAATTTAGTTATGAATTTTACAAGTTAGTGCATGAAATTTAAAAAACTGTGAAAGTAGCCATGTTCATGAATATGATTGTCTTCTTGTTTAAGGGGTGGAAAATTGTACTAGATGAATAAGGTAATGGATGTAATTGTTTGTGATTGTGATTATAAATATGAATTAATTTCACAAAAGGAAATGATTGAAAATGCTAGATACAGGTGTGGAGCAAAGAGTGTTGGTGTAATCATAAGGGTTGTTGAGTACCTAAGTACTACAAGAGACAAAGACTGAATAACTTGTGTCTTAGGAAGTGAGAATTATGCTAACATATCTTGATAGGCACTAAAGCATTTCATTTATTGGTGTGAGTTTGTGTTGTTGAGAGTGACCATATAAGAGAATTGTGCATTAACATTTATGTCTCTCGTAAGGAAGAATGTACCGATGACACTAGCTGACTGCATACTGTAACACTGTTTCTAGACAAGTGTACCTGTTGAAAAGTAATAAAGGGTTTAAAAATTAAGTTTCCAAGTTATCATTCTATAGAAATTATTTTTAAGTACTAAGAATACATCGATTTAATTGTTTAAACAAAAAGGGGTGCATAATGAATTAAAATCAAAAGGAGTTCAAATCCAAAGAGTAATTTAAAAGAAACGAAAGTAGATTTTTGACAGAAATGAGATGATAAAAGCTTAGGGCATACGGTCTCACCTATTACACCTTTCAATGTTCTTTTTAGTTAATATTAGTTCCCTTAATGTTTACCACCATCAAAAATTAAAAAATTAGTTAGAAGATGAAAGATAAAAGTTGAAAAGATAGTTGATAAAATTATGCCTAATGTTATGAACCTTACTAACCAGCTTCATTAATATGAATAAGTGCAATAATCTTAGATTTTGCTTGGAGTGCTGGTTTCGTTGGAGGTTGATCAAAATTTTGAATTCATCTTTAATATTAATGGAAGTGCTTGGGAGAACTAAGGAAGAGTTGATTTTGATGTTTTTATTAGAAATATGGATGAAAATTAGCTTAGATGAGTTTTTGAGTTCATTAGTATTCTGATAATACTCATATTGAACTCATAGTCATGGTTCAATGGTTGAAAATGGTTCAAAATCTAAATATCAAACATCTCTTATGTTACTTTGATGACAAAAATCGTAAACCTCGTAATAAAAATTGTTCTATATTTCTACAAGTATGCTAATCTCATTTAAAATATAAAAAAGTGACTAGAAAAAAAAATAACAAATCACCACCATTAAATACACTCTACGTGAAGATAAGGTATGTGCTTATTTATTAGCTAAGTTGTGAATTTTTTCATATTATGATTTTAAAGATTGGGTTTCACCTCATTTAGACTTGAGATTAATTTTTTAAGCTGATGTTAAAGGAATCTCATATTTGAAATTGTAATTTTTTCTCTCTTTTTTTTTTCTTTACTTTCCTTTACTAATTTTTTTTTTGGTAAAACTAGTCTCTACATTACATAATAAATGTAAAATAACAAAAATAAGGACATCATAATTAAATAGACCAAAATTTAAAATTTAGCACTAATTTTTTAAAAATATAAATTTTATATTTTAATTTATTCAAAATCACATATCATTTTTAAATTAAGATAATAAATTTTTAATTTCACTCTAATTTGTAAATATTTTATTATAAAAATAAGATTTATTTTCTTTATTAATTTTTCCTCAAGAAATTAATAATTTATTCTTTTTAAAATAAAAAAAATATTGTGATATTCATTTGTTTATTACTTTATGTGAATATGTTCTTTTACAATGGCAAAAATAACGAAATTCAATGTAAAAAAAAAAAAAGTAAAGAAAGTAAGGTTTAAAAAATGAAAAAATCACATTTAGCTGGTAGGGAAAAAAAAGTATGTCTAACATTAAAAAAAAATGCCATTAACTACTCATTAAAGTTATTTTACCAAACAATAATGTTTTTATCAAAAACAAAATTTAGCGAATTAAAAAACTTTTAATTGACTATAATTATCTTGCTTAATACATTTATAATAAATTTTATTATTATTATTATTGTGGTTGAGTTAGAATCTATTGATATTTGGTGTTGAATTTGAAAAATTACATTATTTAGTAACATTGTATAAAATATAAGATTGATTAATTTAAATGTTAAATTATTTTATATAGACTAAATTCTCATTTTAGTCCTTGAAATAGTAAGCGTCTGACATTTTAGTTTCTAAAATTTTAAAACTGTCATGTTAATTCTTGACTTCTATCTTTGTCAGACATTTAAATCTTTAGACCCATATATCGTTAATAAATAGTAATAAAATGTTGACATGTCACATTAAGTGACACATGTGATTGATTATGTGACAAAAACGAAGTCGTATATAGTATGATATATATTTTTGTTTTATTTTAGTCCTTGAGATTATCATCTGTTGGACATTTTAGTCCTTGAAATTGTTACTAACGGACATTTTTGTCCTTACTTTTAAAACCTTTCAACTATCTACCTTCTTTTTCTTTATTCTCCCAAAAACTACCCTTCTCACCATAATCATTCTCAACCTCTTTCTCCCTCTCTCTTTCTTGCTCTTACCCCTCTCAGGTGCCTAATAAAATCTCCCCCATCACACTAACAAAAGAATTTAAAAAAGAGTTCGAATTGGTAGTTTAAAATTCTTTAGTATAGGTTGTGGCAGTGAAGGCTAGATTCGCAAGCTCAATATGCCAAAGATCTCAACAATACAAATATGATAACAAAGCAAAGCCTTAAGTAGTTGCATCCAATAAATGGGGTTTTAGAACCCCACATCCATTTTCGGTTGTCCATCTAAGTGACTTTGATCCCTTTAGTGCTGTATTTTTTTATTTTTATTTTTGTATGGTTAGGAAGGAATAAAAAGAAATTATGCTTCCCACTTTTTACTGTAGATGCATTTCTAACTCTGACTTTGGAGATTAATTCTAGTTCCAATCTAGAATGATATTGTTGATGGTCTTATTTTTTTATTTTGCTCCAATAGCCTAAGTATGTTTGGCTGAAATGTATGTGTCCTGCAATTATTAGGAATCTAATTTAAAGAAAGTATTGGGCACATGAGAGAGTGACTAAGAATGAGAAATAGAGAAGGAGAAGGAGGTTGAGAATGATTATGATGTGAAGGGTAATTTTCATGAGAATGAAGAAGAAGAAAGATGAATAGTTAAAAGGTTTTAAGAGTAAAAAAATAAAATATCAGTTAGTAACAATCTCAGAAACTAAGATGTCCAACAGATGATAATTTTAATGACTAAAATGAAATGAAAATATAGATCGTACCACATACAACATCGTTTTTACCATGTAATCCGTCATAGGTATCACTTAACTTGACATGTCAACATTTTATTATTGTCTATTAATGATGTCTAAGTCCAGAGACTTAAATACCTGATGGAGATAGAAGTCAGAGACTAATATGACATTTTTAAAATTTTAGATACTAAAATATTTGACACTTACTATTTCAGTAACTAAAATGAAGGTTTAGTCTTTTATATAATTTTTATGATTATGTATATCAAATTTCATATAAAATGAGCATTTGTAATAGATATATTAATTATTTAAAATTTTATATTTATTTATATTTTAAAAAAATTATATGTTAAAAATAAAATAATAGGATAAACATTTTATTTATTTATAAGAATTTTCAAATTAATTAATCTTGTATTTTATGAAAGGTTATTAAACAAAGTAACAATCCATATTTTTATAAATTTTGACATTTTAATTATTATTATCAATATAATTTTGTTAGAGTACATGGTATTAGAATTAGGCATAGTCGTTAAAAAAAATCTTCTTGAAGGTTTTGGGACTCTCGTGATATAACAAACACCCGGCACGGGTCAAAAGTAAGGACGAAAAATTGAATTTAATACATCTAATTTCAACACAAACTTGATATCACGTCAGAATCCATCAACCACCACTAACATGAATCGATAATTATAGTATTATTTATGACTACCATAAAAGAATGAAATAGAGATTTAATAAAAATAAGTTAAACATAAGAAGTTTTAATCCTTTCTTTCATATTAATGGCTAATATTATTATCATATGTTACGAGAAGAAGATTGAAACAACATTAATAGAGCAGCACAAATATTCTTATATCGGGTCAGTTACTAATATAAGAATATTCTAATATAGAAATACGTACCACATATATTATATAAATGAAAAAAAAGCATTTAATAAATTTTATTACATCTCACTGTTTGGCCATCATCTCCAATTTCTCACCCACTTAGCCATATATCATCATGGTGATGTAAAAAGGTTGTCCTGTTTCACCACTTACCTGTCTTCTTGTTTTGTTATGCATCCACACAAAACCCCACTTCTCAGTTGAGATTTTAAATTCGTTATCCTTCCTGTCGTTTGCATACACGACGCCGTACACCGAAATGACCTCACCGCCGACACCAAATGCCACTCTCTCATTCCCGCTCGCTTCCATCGCACCGGCGAAGATTTCCGCCGACGTCGCACCGCCATGCCGCCGGTAGCTCATCCGCTGTCATGTCTTCGGAATCCACCGCCTTCCATCTCCGGCGAAACCTCGGCTCCGCGCTCTTCTTCTTCGCCGTTTCTCTCTCCTGCTTACTCGTCTTCCGAAACGCCTCTTACTCTCGCTTCACCTCGTCGTATCCGTTATCTCGTTTTCAGACCGTTTTTCCGTCGGCGTCCAACGATTCCTTCGCGGTGAATCCGTTTTCTCTCTCTCTCTCTCTCTCTCTCTCCCTCTCTCTTTCTCTCTCTTCTGTAGTTGTGTTAGCGAGTGAGTTTCCATTTTCTTTTTGGAGCATTGGTTTGGAGTCTTGTGATTGTGATTTAGAAAGTGTGTTTCTGTGTTTGGATAGGATCTTCCTATTTTGATTTTCTTAACTGTGGACGGTTCCAACTACGGTGTTTTTGTGCTAAAAATTGTGAAGTCTGGCTGTTTGATTTATGTGAATGTTGAATGTGATAAGTTGTTTGAGTGGGATTGGATTGTTGAACCGTTTTTTATATGATGTGAACTCTTTAATTTTGCAAGTGAACAATACATATAATGCATGGTTAGTTAAATTGATATACCGATTCTTGTTTAAATTTGTTGACCCCTATTTTGAAGACTCACACTGGTAGTGTTGCTCATGCTTGCAGTGCCACAAACCTATAGCATTGGTATTTAAAAATGAAGAAAGCCCTCAATTTGGTCCTTCAAGCAACATGTGTCACCACATTGGTCCTCTAAAATTGTTACTCATCACATTAACTTCTTAAAGATTATTTTTGTCACCGCTTAATTCTTCTTCCATAAAGATGAATTTGGTGACAATTTAGATCTTCAAAAGACAAATTTAGTAATTGATTAAATCTTTGAAGGACTAATTTGGTGACAAAAATAAATGCAGACTGCTGCTTTGGAAAACTTTTAATTTCCTCATTGGAAAAACTAAATAAGCTTGTCATTTTTAACTATTTGTTCAATTATTTTTAGATACATTAATTTCAAGCAATGAATTTCTAATATTGAGTTCTTGTAGCATATGTTAATATTGAATTGTTGGTCACTATGACAGACAGTGGACAGATTGTCCCTTCCCAACAGCAGCAGAACTTTCATAATTAAGTGAATCCACAAAAGAATGATACTCTTACTCCAAATTGAAAGCTTTTGTCATTGTTGTTATTATTATTATCTTTATGGTTAGCTTGTGTAATTTATTGATGGAAGAGGCAGTCACATTCTTTGTTTTTCTTGAAATGATTCTTCTGCAGGTTAGCAATGAACATTCACTTGAAATAATTCTGAATAAGGCTGCCATGGAAGACAGAACTGTCATCTTGACTACGTTAAATGAGGCATGGGCAACGCCAAATTCAGTCATTGATCTTTTCCTTGAGAGCTTTAGAATTGGAGATCGTACTCGTAGGCTTTTGAATCATTTGGTAATTATTGCTTTAGACCAGAATGCATTTATACGCTGTCAGGTCATACACACCTATTGCTATTTGCTTGTTAGTGAAGGCATTGATTTTCATGAAGAGGCATACTTTATGACTCCTCACTACTTGAGGATGATGTGGAGACGGATTGATTTCCTACGTTCTGTTCTAGAGATGGGGTACAATTTTGTGTTCACGGTAAGTACTTAAAATCATTAACTTTTTCATGTTTACTTGGACTGACTTGTATCATCCATGAGATCATGTAAACCTTGGGAATGTTTTCAAAGATTGTGAAGTTTGCAGATCATTTACATTTACCTAATTGTAGTCCCAACTGGTTAGGATAAACTGTATCAATATATTGTCCCATCACGGCCAAATTTATAGCTTTCCATTTCTTTTTTTATCATTGTTTCTTCATGCAGTTATTTCTTTTTTAGAAGATAATTTATTTTAAAAAAGGGAAGATTTAAAATATAAGGTGTCTAAATTTGATACTTATGTTCCTCTACCAGGATGCTGATATCATGTGGTTAAGAGACCCATTTCCACGCTTTCACACTGATGCAGATTTCCAGATAGCATGTGATCATTTCACAGGCAGCTTTGATGATGTACAGAACAGACCCAATGGAGGGTTCAACTTTGTAAAGTCCAATAATAGGTCAATAGAGTTTTACAAATTCTGGTACTCTTCACAAGAAACCTATCCCGGATACCATGATCAGGATGTCCTCAATTTTATCAAGGTTGACCCTTTCATTACTGATTTAGGACTGAAAATGAGATTCTTGGATACAGCAAATTTTGGTGGGCTTTGTGAACCAAGTAGAGATTTGAATAAAGTTTGCACGATGCATGCAAATTGTTGCTTTGGTATGGATAGTAAACTTCATGACCTTAGGATTATGCTTCAAGATTGGAAACATTATTTGACCTTGCCTCCAAGTTTGAAGAGACTGTCCATTATTTCCTGGCGGGTTCCTCAGAAATGCAGGTTGACCATATACTGAAGTTTTTTCATTCAAATATTATAATCTTGTTTTTCATATACCGTTCTTTTTTCTTAGTCCATTTTATTTACCACTTTTGATCTGCCTTTTATTCCCTTTCCTTTCCTTTATTGCTTATTAATGGGGTGAAATTTCTTCTCAGCCTTGATTCTCTCAAGCATCAGGGTTCTCCAGAGAAGAGTGTTCAAGAAGATTGAAGTTATCATTGCATGTGTTAATTTCTTAGACATTGAGGTGGAAGTTCAGCTAAAATGCTGCAGGACGAATTTTTCTTTTATTGGTTTTTTCCTCCCAGTTAGCTCTGCTAGTGTAAATGATGAGAATGTTGCTGAAGTAAAGACAGCTCTGGCAGATACAAATTTGAAGAGAAAAAACATTTTTTCTAGACCAAGTACGGAAGAAGTGTATATTTACACTCATGCAATATGAAAGACGTGACATGTTCAATTTATTGAAATTGTTTGTACTTTGCACAATTTTGTGCAATATTATTGTGTACTTCTCTTGGTTTCTTTTTCCAGCGCTCAACCCTCCACCCTGTTTTTTCTCAAGCATTACAGATTACAGAACACAAAATCTAAGCGGTCTATGCATAACGAGGTGAAGCGAACAATTGAAAATTATGGTGATTTCTGGGCTAGATTTCGTGTTTCTATCTTAAAACCCTTACCCTGCTTTATGTTTCTTTGCGTTTTAGTCTGTAGGAATTCGATCCCCTGCAGTTGTCAGCTGTCTCCAAATTCCAGCTGCACCATTTGCTCGTGCATCTTGTGTGTGTGTGTATCCCAAATTTTCATATCTAAAACATGATTTCTCTGTAGTTCAGTGGACTGAAACTTCAGAATTTTTAAGGAATCTACCTCTTATTTATATGCTTAGTTTAGGAAGATGTCATAAGACATCATATTATATAGAATATAAATAGTAATTTACACATTTTTATAATGATTTAATTGACAAGAAGGTGGAAATCCTGAGTATTTAACTCAGTATGTATATTCATTTGAAAAATGTTAGTCATTTCATTTTATGTAGCAGAACAAGGAATGAGAAAAGGATTCAGTGTTTCTTGGGCTATGATTTTACCAATAAATTAAAGGATAAAACTTATGGGCACTATCACAGGTGTCTTTTTGTTGTTCTCCAATAAAATTGAAGTTCACCTTAATAATTTACAATAACATTAAATATAATTTTTTTTATCAAAATAAAATTCTATTTTTAATTAATAAATAAGAAAAATAGTACCTTAATTTGTTCTAAATTAAAATGTGCCTTTTCCCCACCACACCGCAAATGGATATTGTTTTCTTTTGAATGACGGCAGAGTGCATTATATTCGCTCTAATTCCTGTTATGAGTTATGACTAAAATTTAAAAGTAGTTTTTTAGGTAGTGTTGCACTCAAGCTACAAATGTTGATATTCAATATGTTCAAATTGATAACATGGTTTCTCGTAGAACATTTTGGGGAACGGGTATTAGAATTTCTAACGCTGCCAACACAATTTTTAACACATTTTTTAATACTTTATTTATTATTTGTTAAAATTTATTAAAATTATAAAAATAACATGAATTTTATTTTTTTAAAAAAATCTTAATAAATATTAATTAATAATAAAAAGTGAATTAAAAAAATTGTGTTGGCTAATATTCTTACTCAAAATTAGAAGAAAAAAAAAATTCCTTTCAATAAATCTCCGTTAAAACGCTGTAATTGACATGCAAACTTGGTTTTGGAAGGAAACCAAATAGGCTAATCAAGTTAATTCAATTTTACAAATTTCAGCAGTTTTTTTTTTTTTTAACCTTATTCTTAATTAAAGGCTGGTTAATTGGAGTAATCCGTGTCTCTTTTTATTGGTCAAAGAGCAACACTTGTCTAAAAGTATGTGGTGTTTGTTTGTTTACTTGTTTGATCAGCCACGCTTATTCCAAAGTACCATTTTGCCTGATTTCTTCTAACCAGAACATTCATTTATTTGCAGCCTAATATATATACATATATACAAAAAAAAATAAAAAAATTGCTTCCTATGAAGGCTTTTTGCCGGAATGGGGTAAATGGAAAAACAATTTCCCCATATAAAGTGATTGAAAATAAATTTGGTGTTTGTAGTGAAGAATGTCACGTGTTATAAATATCGTAAAATGCGGTATTGAAATAAAATAATTTATTTATTTTTTGTTATTAGTGTCGTTAAACAACTTATCAATACCAACAAAGGGAGATACGTGTCGTGCCAATAACAAAAGAAATTTTATAAAAAAATCATTAACTATTGCGATTTTAACACGTAAATATTCTTTATAATGTGGATGACTTAAATTCGACTTTGATGTCAAAATTGGTTTAGCCAAAATGAGTGTTGGCATGAATATAACCGACACATTTTTAATTGGTTCATGTGGCAGAGTTTGTGAAATATTTTCCATCTGCCTCTCTTCCCTGCATCTTGTTCATTCTTCAAACCTTGTGGAAAAACAAAAAAAAAAAAAGGCAGATTTTGGATAGTAAGAAAATAGAAATTTATATTTGTAAATTAGAATTATCAAATATATAATTAAAATAAATATTATAAAGTTTATAATATTTTTGTTTTTTTAGGTTGAAAATTGTATTTAAAAGTAAAAATAATATTGATATTATTTAGTATTGTAAATATATATTTATTTTTTTTGTAATTATTTGCATGTAGAAAATACGAAAATAGAAAATTAGGAAAATAGGATAATAGGAAAATAGAAATTTATATTAAATTAGAATTATCAGATATATAATTAAAATAAATATTATAAAGTTTATAATATTTTTGTTTTCTTAGATTGAAAATTGTATTTAAAAGTAAAAATAATGCTGATATTATTTAGTATTGTAAATAAATATTTAATTTTTTTGAAATTATTTGCATGTAGAAAATAGGAAAATAGAAAAATAGAAATATAAGAAATAGGATATTAGAAAAATAGAAATTTATATTTTTAAACTACAATTATCAGCTATATAGTTAAAATATATATTATAAATTTTATAATATTTTTATTTTTTTAGGTAAAAAATTATATTTAAAAGTAAAAATAATATTGATACTATTTAGTATTGTAAATATTATTATGTTAAAATAACTATGGTTTAAACATATATAAATATAAATTAATTGAGAAATATTTAAATAATTAAATTATATATATATATATATATGAATTAGAGTTACATGTGATTGTTGCTAGATTAATAAAATAAATAAATAAATATTTGTATTAATAAATAAAGAAATATGTTAATTAAAAAATTTACATTGTTAAAAAAACTGCAGTTGTTAAATTTGTAAAAAAAATAATTAAAAATAATTTGTCACATAATTAAAAAATAGTAAATAATTTAAAATTCTGAAAGATAGAAACAAAATTAGTCATCATTTAATTATAAATTAGATTATTTTAAAAAATTAAAGAGTAAAAGAATAAGAAATTAAGTGAAAAAACATTAAGGAGATTAAGTTAGTAATAAATAAATTTGAAATATTTAATTTAAAATATAAAATACTGAAAATTAAATAAATTAGATAATTAGTAATTTAGAAATTTAAATCTTATAAAAAGTTTGCAGTTGTTTATATGATTTAGATTAATAATAATAAAATTATGTGTTAAAACTATTAATTTAAGTGTAACAAAATTTTAATAGTTGATTACCTTAGTAAAAATTTAAATAAATAAATTTTTTATAATGATATTTTTAATATATAATTTTTTTGTAAGCTGTTATAAGTCACTGTGATTGAAATATATGTTGTAAGAATACTAATTATAGGTAAATTTAGTAAAAGAGTTATTTTTGTTAATACAATAATTGATAGACTCTATTTAAGGTAGAATTTGTTTAATAATAAAATGAAATTATTTTTGTTAATTTTTGTTGCTTACATTAAAAATATGAAGTTTATGGTTTACTTGTTTAAACACATTTCAAATGGCATCATTTTCGTCTCGTAATAGAGTTTTAAATCCTAGCCCTACGGATAATTCATTATTGCGTAATAAGTTTATTCATATTACAGAGCATATTTGGGATGGACATGAATACTCAATTTTGAGAGTGAGGAGAAGTCACTTCATATCTGCTAGCATGGAGGGAGTTCCAGTAAAGATTCTTTTTCATTTGACACTGGCACTGACATGAATACTCAATTTTGAGAGTGAGGAGAGGTCACTTCATATCTGCTAGCATGGAGTGAGTTCCAGTAAAGATTCTTCCTCATTTGACACTGACAGGATTTGTGAGAGTTGCATAGTTGGCTAGTATTTCTATTGACCACTAGTTGATTACAATTTTGGTGGAAAGATAGAGACCAAAGACTCATACGTTTCACATGCCTCCTAAAGAGTGTACTATTACTCTTTAAGACATTACTATTCAGATGGGTCTTCGTATTGATGGAAGGCCAGTTAAAAGCTTCTTCAACCTTAAACCTTGTTATTTGTATTTCATAACGTTGAACCTCATGTGAAGATGTTTCTTTTTGATTTTTTTTTTCTATAGCTTCAATTAATTTATGACAATATTTTCTACCATTGTTCATGTCATTTATTATGTTCTAAAACCTTATTGACTAGGACAGTAATTGGAAGATTTCTTACCCTTTTAAAACTTTATTGATTGACTCTAACAAATTAGTAATCATGTGCCTAAAATGTTGCCCTTCATCATCATAAGCCAAACTGCACTTTTCCTTTGATATGTTGTCAATCCAAAATTTAATTTTGGGAGAATGGAAACAAAATGTATTAAGCTTTGCTTCAAATCTTTGCTTGCAGGGTGTATATGCTATATTGAAAGAGTTTATAGGGTTAATGGTGTCCACATATATATATTGATTAATTAATCCAAATACACAAATGTTACAAAAAAACTTACCTGACTTGATGAGCATACTCTTCAAGGTGGTATTTTTGAATCTTCTATTGAAATTATTTGCAATGAGACGAATACAATAAACATGGTAAACATTAGGAGATTGCCACCCAATGTGTGGTTTAAACACAACACCTTTAGTACTTTGATGGCGATTAAATATCAAACAAATTTCACTCTTCTCAGTAACATTTAGACGAATCATTGCTAAGAACCATTTCCATGCTGATAATATTTCTCCTTCTACAATGACAAACGTTATAGGAAGCACACTATTATTGCTATCTTGAATTATAGCAATTAGTAATGTTTGCTTGTACTTACCATACAAAAAGGTATCGTTTACTTGTATTATAGGCTTATAGAACTTGAAGGCTTCATGACATTGCCTAAATGACCAAAATAATCGATGAAAGACTCTGAAATCTGAATCTATTATCCACTACATTGCCTCTAACATAATCATTGGTCTCAATTTTGTAAACTGACCCAGGAGCATGTAATTGCATGTATTCTAACCATTTTGACAATGTTGCATATGATTCATCTCAATCACCAAATATTGTCACAATTATTTTTTGTTTTGCTTTCCAAGCTTTTTTGTATGAAATTGAATATCTAAATTGCCCAGTTATTCTCTCTTGGATTAATGAAACTTTCTTGTTTGACCATACCTGTCAATAAAAATAAACAATGTGTCTCAACTAATGGTCATTTAAACATCATTTAAAAAAACAAACAAAAATAAAATCAATTGAAATTCACGTACCAAGAATGCATGAACAAATAAAATTTGAATCCAACTTTTTGTGATCTTGAGAAATCATAGTATTTAAACATGTATGCGTACCACTCTATTTCGTAATTTTTCACTTATTTGTATTTTTGGGCAACAATGCTCTTACTTTCCAAGGACACCGGAATTATGATTCACACTTCACAAAATGAGTTGTTACTTTTGACTCAACCACAAAAATTGTTTGATGTTTCCTTATTGCATAATGCTTTATCACCATTTTAACCTCCTCTTTAGAGTTAAAGAGTTGTCCAATGTATCTCCTTGTATATATGATTATGACAAATGCAACTCAGAAAAATCTAATTCTTGATCAAGATGTTCTCTATTAATAGTAGTGTAATGTGAACTTATATTTGACAAAGGTGTTAAAGAATTTGTATTAAATTCTTACAATGTTAGTTAAAAAATTTTCACAATTAATTTATTATATTAAAGTATACCTATTGATTGTCGTTGGATATCATTATTTCTTTTAATATTTGGAATATTGATCATTGAATCAAAACCATCATCCAAATCAGTATTAGAAGAACTATCTAAAGGAATTTCTCGTTTATCTTCATAGTCATCTTCTTCATTTGTAGATGCAAACAACACATGTTTATTAATAAATTACTAAATTTGAAATATCTTCCAGTTGCATAGTTTTCTTCATTGTCACTAACATTAACAGGTGGAAGTGATAAATTTAAACCTAACGATTGTACAATAAAATAAGTTTCACTAATTGCAATATCTACATATAATTCAACTACATTTCTTTGATGTCGTTGTTGACATGCACTTATCATGCAGTCAATATTTTCATCATTACATATATCTAAAATTATGTGGCTTTCACTCCTTACATCAACTAAAGTTCGTGAAATTAATCTAAAAATTATATTACTGCTGCATAATCTTAATTTTGTATGTATCTTTTTTTTAACATCTTGAAAGTAATTCCACATGTTATCTTAATCATCTTCTTATTTCCTTCAAATATTATACCTTTATTTTTTCGTACACTCTTCTATTCCAATATAAAATAATCACAATTTTCAGTCATCCTGCATATCAAATTAAAAAAAAATAATACAAAAATAATATTACGAAAATAAATTAACTACTTAAACAAATACTAATAGAAAAAAAATTACAAGAACATTAAATTACAAGAAATTTATATTTACATTTTTTAATATTATACTTACACTAATAAATTATCATAGCACAACAAATATTTTTTATTTCATAAATTCATAATAATATTAATATCATTATTTAAAACTTAATTGCAAAATTAAAAACTTCTAACCTTCAACTCCTTCTACAAATTCAACTTTTTTTAGATTTTGCTAAACCAATACACACCATGACATCTACATATATACACTTTAAATTGGATAAAAACTGGTGGATAAAAGAGTGTAATCTTCTTTAACTATATTGTAAAGTGTTGGAATTCAACCTATCAACACACAAGTGTCACAAAAAATTCAACTGAAATATAAGTCTCAAACAAAGACATTGTAAAATCTTAGAATTTAACCTACCAACAAACAAGTGTCGCAAAAAATTTAACCTAAATATAAGTGTCAGACTACTCTCAGCCAATACATATATCACATGACAAAAATCTAAATTATTATTTTTTAATAAATTCAAAAAATATTTTTTATGTACATAATATTTATTATCTTTTACTATTTATGAATTCTATTATCTTTTGATTTTTCATGTATTATATTTGAATTCCTCTTTCAATTTCTTTTTTATAAAATTGCTATGTTACAAAAGCAAAATTTTAAAGACTCAAAATATTAAAAAATTCAATTATTCAATAAAATAAATAAAATAACAAATTACAAGAATTGTAATAATTTTTTTAGAACAAAAGAATTTTAATAATTATTTTAAAAAATACGTAACAAATTTAAGAAAAATGCTTATATTATATATAAATAAAAGGTTAAAAAAATTTAAATTATAAAGTTATAATTTGCAGACACAGCGAAAAAATAAAATAAAATTGTAAGTTGGAAGATAGAACTGAAAGAATCCAAACACGAGGTTTGATTTTGAATAAACTCCATACAGCCCCAAATGGCCAAATGAAACCGAAACACACTCACCAAGGGTCGTTCGACAGCACCTTCGTAATCCGTCTTCTGGAGGCGTCATAGTTTGTTGAATCAAAGCATATTGGTTCGCATTCATTTGGATCCTTTTCTAAGAGTATATAGATTGTGGTTTTCAAATGCTGCAAACCTCTGCCCTAACTAAATATCATCGTTAATTGCGATTGCGTCCAAAAACATTGTTGTTGCAGCAGCAATTGTGGATTTTGGACCGCTATTTTTAAAACCTACATTTGATATTTGTGCATATATAATGCAGAATCAGTGTGTGCTCAAATGCTAATTCTTGCTCTTAACTTGGACACTTTTTTTTTTCCTTGTTTGTTCCTTTGTAACAGTGAAACATTTTGTAAATTAACGTGCTTCCCAAGTAGCTGGACACGATGTATTTCCTGTTTTACAGAACCTTTCTTTCATGCTTTAGCTTCTCAAATATAAGATAGCTAGGATTTTTGGTAGAAATTTATAGTACTTCAAAAGAATTATTTGAATTTTAATACTGTGGTCTCTATTTATGCCATCTTTTTATTGTTAAAAGAATCTCATTTATGAAGCTTCAATTAATTTTATCTTTTTCTTTTTCTTTCTTCTGTTTGCATAGTGGTTTAGGCCCTTTAGGGAGGCATTGCAGATCAGTTTCGGCTTACAGAACTGATATTAAGTGATGTAAGCATAAGCCTCTAGTATATATTCAAGCACTTCCTTATTGGTTTTTCTTAGTAATAACAATTTCAATCACTTCAACTTTTGTTTGCTGGTATTTAGTATGCTGTACATCGTGTAGGATAGACCTATGAATCTCTGGTCCCAGAATATGCAAACAGAATTATTCTGTGGTCTTGAAATTGAGGGTATTAGGCAGCCTTCCCCTTAATCAGGAGCGAAATGGATAAGATGTACTAGATAATTATTTTTAAGTCATCTTTGACTTCTCATTTATGGAATGTTTCTAGATTTTTGTTGTGCTAGTTGTTAACTTTTGTTATGTCAAGATAAAGTTGGATAAATTTATCACCATTTATATAATATAAACTTTGAGGTGTGTTTCTTTTCCTTTATGATTCCTTGTATGTAATTTACTATCACTGCTGACTTGGTCAATTTGGTTGTCCTTGTGAAATGTGAACTCGTATTTCCTCTCATAAATCAATTTCAGTTTTAAACTTTTTTTTACTTCTAAAATTGAACTGAACTGAACTGTAATTTGATAGTTAATATGCTTCTGTTAGGAGGGAAAAGGTAGGTAGTTCAAATATTTTGGAGGGTTTAAGTGTGATAAATAAATAAATAGCAGGATGCAAGGAAGAATATTCATTCAGATTTTTTAGTTGTTTTATTCTGAGCATTTAGCTCAGTTGTGAAAGGGTAACCCTTGGAGGAGACATCACTCTGCTGTTCTCAATAAAACTGTTCAATTTCATTGCTTGTATTAGAATACGTGAAAATATTCAATAATATATTGATCATTTCTATGTATTCTTAGAATTATTTAGAGTATCCAATAATATCTAGATAGCGTGTTAGAATATTTTAGGTTCCATAAACACTACGTTAAATTGTAACACGTCACAATGTCAACAGAATATTAATTCAATTTCAAAGTGTCATCCCTCAATACCTAAAACGCCGTAGTCTTAATGGCTTGTTTCTATCAATTTCTCTTTACTCTTTCCTGGGTTTGTAACAACTGTATGTTGTTGATTTTATCATATTTGCTTGGATGGTTAATATTCTTGCAATCAGCTAGAAATTTTTCCCTAAATGCATTTCCAATCACATATTTGTCTTTTGTAGCTCAATTATCTTTGTTTATGAATACTTACATGAGGTGTAATTTTGAGGTTCTAAATGGTGTACTAGAAGTTTGGTTTTGATAGGCCAATGTATGGGATATGGCTTAGTTGTTGTTGTTATTGTTTTCAATTATACAATGAGATGTATTAGAAATGGATTGGGTTTAACTCACAGCCAAAGCTAGCCCAGAGGGCAAGGATTGCCCAAGTCTTATAAGTAGTATTCTGGTTTCTAGACAAAGTGTGACATTTTAACAAGATGTTTCTTATTCATTGTATATCCTCTTCATTTTTCAACAGATCAATGTTGCAGACAGCATCTGCCCCTAGCTTTTGCTTAACCTATCATAGGAACCTTAATTATCCTTGTTCTTTAACAAAGCCTTTGGTTAAAACGTTATCTGTTTGCTGTTCGATACCAAATGCAAACATTGGAACTAAAGTGGAATATACTCCTTGGCTCATTGTTGGCTTGGGTAACCCTGGAAACAAATATCATGGCACTAGGCACAATGTAATTATTCACTCATTTATGGAATTGCTAGAATCCATTTCTATTTGTCATGATTCTCATGAACTTTATGGCATTCTCACTGTTAGGTTGGATTTGAAATAATTGATAGCATTTCTCAAGCAGAAGGAATTCCAATGAACACAATACAGTCAAAGGCCTTGATTGGAATAGGTGCCTCATGTGCTAGCATTATTTATTATGTTTTTTCTCATACTCTTTTTTCCAATTACTGATTCATATGCATGGCTACTGTAACATTGACTTATATTTTATTCTGTGAATAATACAGGTTCTATAGGAGAAGTACCGGTTTTGGTGGCAAAGCCCCAAACATACATGAATTTTAGTGGGGAATCAGTTAGTCTTCATCATACATAATAGCTAGATATTCTACAATAAATCACATGCACACACCCTTATGGAAACTGATTATAGATCAACTATCTAATTGAATGATTATACTTGACATATTGATATGACATTTTTATTTACAAAAATTTATAGTCTCTGATCTGTCACTTTTTCTGTTACTCTTCTCTGTTCCTGATTTTATCTTATTTGTTTTATTCTTGAAGGTCAGGCCACTTGCTTTGTATTACCGAATACCTTTGCGTCATATCCTACTAGTTTGTATATCTTACCTTATTCATTTTTTTTAAAAATAGTTAGTGTTATTTTTCTTTTGGCCATAAGTTTGTGGAAATTTTTATGTAGGTTTATGATGAAATGAGCCTTCCAAGTGGTGTTCTAAGGCTTCTGCCTAAAGGTGGACATGGACATCACAGTGGGTAATGCTTGTTGGATTTAAAATATCATGTTCGTAACACTTTTTTTATACATCAGAACAAAATATGATGTTAAAGGAAGAATTGTATGAGTTCTTAGTGAATAAAATCCTAACTTTATGAATTGTTATACATTAAACAGACTTTCTATAAACTTAGAGATGTAAGACAGAAATGAATAAAGATATTCATTTTTAGGGTTGGGGTTTCTAGGATGCATTAATGTGGCAAATAAGGTGGATAGAAAGGCCATTAAGATTCTTTTAACTTCTAATGATGAGGATGGTTTGTGGGTATGGCTTTAGCACTAGTTGCTTTCACTCCATATATAATTCTCCTGTTTGAATTTACCTTGATTAACAACCTTGTTAAAATGAATTTTCTATCTTCTTTAAATCAGGATAACGATTTGAATTTTCCAATTTGTAACATGTAGTATTGTAGGTCTCAATTTTTTTAGTGGTGAAGACTGTCGTGCCTTATTTGCATATTTTTTTAACTTATTATGGAAAGTGGCAGTGCATTTCTCTTTATTTGCCCTTTTGTACTGGGAAAACATGAATTCTATGACTGATGTTAGATTGTTACAGATTGAAAAATGTGATGTCTCATTTGGATGGTTCCCGTTATTTTCCTCGACTTTCTATCGGTTAGTTCCTTATTTATTGTCACTTTATGAGTTGGTATGGTCTCTTCAGTTGTTCCAGCAGTACTATATTTCAAACCTGTTTTTAGGAATCGGAAATCCTCCGGGAAATATGGATGTAAAAGCATATCTTCTACAGAAGTTCAGTTCAGTGGAGCGTAAGCAGGTTATAGTGTTATACCTTCTAGTCTTCTACCGTGAAATGGTTTACCTCTTTTATGAACCGCATTTTCTGCTTATACAGGTTGTGAAATACTTCATAGTTTTCATGTGTGTTATGATAATTTATTGATTTTATTAGTAGTGTTAGAGAAACTTATAGTTTATTTTTTATTGTAGTTATAGATTTGAGTCGTAACAAATTTGGCTATAATCAAACAAAAGCAGTTTTTTCTCGTATTGTTCCATGGTGCTTTTCTGCTTATACTACTTATGAAATACTTCACAGTTTACATGTGTTATGAGAAACAAATCTGACTATAACTACATTGGAGAATATGAGAAAGAAATGCAAAAGTATTGGGAATAATATTAAGACTGATATTTGTGGCATAATTTTATAATTACAAATTGCGTACCCTTTTTTCTTATTTGAAATTTGACGTCAACTTTTTTTTTTCTTTTGTTTAATGATGAAGATCGATGCTTCATTGGAGCAAGGAGTTGAAGCTGTAAGGACCTTAGTGCTCAGTGGGTTTAACCACCATATCTCTAGATTCAATTTAGAGCAAAAGTACAAGTACCATAAAGTTTAATTTCTCTCTTATGTACCGCCCGTTTTGGGCATAGATGAAATCCAAGGTTACCTTACTGTGTATGATAGCAGTCTTACCTAAGAAAACATTGTCCTAACCTGTGCATTTGTGGATAGTTACTTCATGGTGTGAAAAGTAATATTGTAGTAGAACTTTAACGGTGGTTGCGCTCTTGGGAAAAATGGGACAGGATTTCCCTTCTTTGTGAGACCCAAAATGGGCACTGAGATGCGGATAAAAAACAGGAAAATAAATCAGAGATGTACAGCAAGATTTTAATGTGAAAAGCTCCTTAATATGAGAAGAGAAACACTATGAGACTTAGTCCAAAAATAACCTCCACTATAAAATGAATAACAAATACAATGATCTTTCATACGTCAAGGACTAAGGACTATTTGAAGGTAACAGTGCTTCTTTCCTTTCTCATGGAGGATTACACAAGATTGTTAACGATTTGAATTTCTTCCTATTTGTAAGGGAGAAAAATATTAGCAAGACAATTTTTTAAAACACTTTTGATTATTAGTTAAAATTTATTAAAAACCACAAAAGTATAAGAGAGAAACATTAAAATTTAGAAGTAAGAATAAGATTAATATGATTTTTGTAATTTTTAATAAATTGTAGGCAGTAGTTAAGAGTGTTAGAGTATATTGTTAGCATTTCTCTCATAAAATAATATAAGAAGATGAAATTTTTATTAAGGTTTATACTTGCTTTCTATTGGAAAATTTTTAATTAAGGAAAGATTCATATTCATGAACAATATAATAAGTAACTCTAATAGCAACGACTAAATATTGGAGAGCAATTCAATAATTTCATAGTTGTTAGAGTCAACAATAGTTTCTTTTTAACTTTTAGTGGATCTCATAGTTGTTTTTAACATGTAAATAGTAATTATTTTTAATTAACTGTCTTTTATGTTATATTTTCAAAGCATAAGATAAGTTGTTAAATTATAATACAGTTGATCGACTAAGTATCACAAATTATGTATGCAAATTGTTAAAATAGTAACTTATGAGAGATGGTTGATTCCATTCATTTTTAAAACAATATTCAAAATTGGTAGCTTATACATGCAAAAGCAACCTTTGTTCTTAGGCATTACATAACCTATTTTTTTTGGGACTCATAATTTCAAAGAAAGTAAAGCACAAAGAGGTGAACAAAACTGTCTGTGTAAAACCCTCTTTTTCATTTATATATTGTTTGATATTTATTTTAATATTGGGTGGTATTGGAGTGTGTTTTAAATTGAATGGAATAATGTTTATTAGGGTTTTGGTGTAGGAGATCTTGCTCAAGCAAAGTAGGTCTTGCTCAAGCGAGACTAAGCACTCAAAATCACATGTTTTTAGGGTAATCTCACTCAAGTAAGATGATTCTCCCTCAAGTAAGATAGGATAGAATTGGCCCAACTATCACCTTGCCCAGGTGAGAGTGAGCTTGCTCAGGCGAGTAGAGATCTCGCCCAAGTGAGCTAAGTCGCTCAAGCGAGGACTTATAGGAAAAATGTTCAATTCTCTGTAAAGCTTTTAAACAAGATTATAGCCCAAGACCTAGCCCTACCCAGCCTTGAAAAAAATCATCCAACCTTGACCCTGTGTTAATTAAAAAATAACGATTAAGCCCTAAATTATATAGTCCAAAATATACAGGTCAGGATTGGGTTATCCATGGGTTGGCCATGACCCTGAAATACTTCACGTTAATCTTCTTTCTCTCGTAAGAACCTTGTCTCTATTCTCTAAAATACCAAGAACCTTAATCCCCTTTCTCTAAATCATACATAGATGTAAGTGGCTAATGCTATAGATTTCATGAACCCTAATTCCTAAATTGTCTATTCTCGTATTTCACAGGTTGCTCCTCCTCCAATACTTCTCAGATTCAAAGCTTCTTGCGAGGTGCCCATTCAATATTTCTTAGATTCAAAACTCCTTGCTGAGGCTCCAACTTTTGAGTCATAGTGCAAGGTAATAGTTCAATTCTCTTTATCTTAACATCTGAATCTATCTTTCACGTTTTGGGTTTGGATCTGTTACTTTGCCATTTTTTTTTTGGTTTTTAGTTTCAATTTGTTTTGAGTTGAGCATATTGAAAGAACACCACATCTCCAACATAAGAATGAAAAGCTCACACTATTTATTATCTAAAAATTGAAAACTTAATTCAATAATAGTGAAAAATGTGGAATTCTACATTTTGGTTATCTGAAATGTAGCAGATATACATTCTCCATATATGAAAAATATTGATACTGCTACTTCCTTTCCACTTCTATGGATTTTTTTGGTTCAACAATCACTATCAAATTGGTAAAATAGAATCCTGTTGTACTGGATGCAGCAGTTTTAACTATATTGTTTATTTGCTTCGAATTTGGAATTAATTCATGATAAAAGTGCTATAACCTATAACCTATTTTTAGAGTTAGAAGAGCTTCAGCTCTTTGTCATAGTATTGAGGCACTGAGTTGGTGAGTTACTTCTCTGTCAGGACTCTTAAGTTGTTATTGTTTTTCCCTGAATCATAAATAATATTTTAGCCATAAAACATAAGTTTGTTCTTTCTGTGAATCCATTATGTGATATCTACCTCTAGAAATGGAACCTCATTCCCTATAAATATTGTACTGAAAAGTTATTTATGGCATAAGTTGTACCAGTTATGACATGAAGATAGAGTAAAATTAACATAATTAAATTTGCATACTACGAGTAACTTTAATGTTTAAAAATTTATTAACATTAAGGAAATCTTTTGGATATTTGTTAATAGATATTGGATAGTATGGTGAAAAATGATCCCTTTTCATCTGGTTTGAAAAAGAGTCAAAATATATGATTTTATTAAGTGAACTTAATCTTTTTTGAAATATAAGTTTATTAACTATATTTAAGCCAAATGCGTCTTCAAAACAAATAAATAAAAACTAAAATGGAAAGAGAAATTTTTTTATTAATTGGCTTTTACAATTTAGGAAAGCTATGGATTATGGGGCCACTATTGTGGTGAATTAAGGGAGTCTTTTCCATGAAGAATTGGTAAAATTCGTAGATGGTGTTTCACTGGTCTATGTTGTTTGAAGTTCATTGATAATATACTTGCTGCAACTGTGTTACCATTCAAGAACTTACTTTAGTGATGTAAATAAGATAGAATTGCTATAGAAACTTTCTGTTAGTGCTGAAAGAATAACAGTAAAAAGAAAGCATATTTTACTTTTTCTTCTATTCTTGTCTTTGGAACTTTCTAAATGTTGATTGCACTTGTTACTTGAAAATTACTAAAGAAACAACTGAGCCAAAAGTCTTTCATAAGTGCAGGGGTATTATAATCACCATCTCCATAGCATTGTGTGACTGTTGAAGAAGAATCCTAATCCAAATTCTCTCACCATAAACTTGTTCAATATCTTTGACCCTCACCAAAACTCTACTAGAATTGGTCTAATCTCATGTCATTACAGGTTTGCAATTGCTTGTATATTATGCATGTGATACATAGATAAGTATTGTCATTAACAAGTAAATGAAAGTAGTATACATAACCAATTGCACACTTAAGGTGTCTTATTAGTAGTGAAAATGGAAGGAGCACTTTGGAATAAGTGAAAAATGACAATGCAATGACTTAGACACATTAAATAAATCTATCCTATTAATGTGCTGAAAAGTTCATATTAATTTTGTAAAACTTGCTATTTCAGGCTAGTGTATGACCTTGTAACATACTAGAATCCATTGTATGATTTCAGTTGTTTCTAAAACTCTTTCTGTATTGTCTGGAAGTGTCAAAACAACTAAGAAATAATTTTCAAATGTTTGAAAATATTTTACTAAAATTGGTGTAGATAAGGATGGTGTTGAAAGAGTTGTGTGCAAATATTATGGCCATGATTATGCTATTGGGAAAAATCCTAAAACAAAAAATCATTATGGAACTTCACATTTGAGTTGTCATGTTTCAGTTTGTAAAAATATTCAAAGTTCAAGTATAGATGTAGTTCCTACTCAAGATGTAAATTTTGGTGTGAGAAAGATTAACCAAAAGACTCAACACAATATCCTTGCACAAGTCATAATTAAACATGATCTTCCTTTCAATTTTACATAGTATGATATGATAAGAGAGTGACTTAATTATGTGAATCCTAATATCATAATGCCCTCTAGGAATACTGTTGTATCAGATGTTCAAAAAATTTACATAAAAGAGAAGGAAAAACTTAAACAAGTCATGTCTAGTATTTCTAACAGAGTATGTCTCACTTCTGATGTTTGGACATCAGCCATAAGTGAGAGTTACATTTGCTTAACTATTCATTTTACTGATGAGAATTGGAGACTAGTAAGATTCTTAATTTTTATCAAATGAAACATCCTCACATAGGAGTTGAATTAGAAGTCACTATATTTGATTACTTGAAGCAATGGGGAATTGAGATAAATTTTTTTTTCTATCACCTTAGATAATGCTTCAGCTAATGATAATATGCAAGATATATTGAAGAACCATCTTCGTTTGTAGAATAGTTTGTTGTGTGATGGTAAATTTTTTTAATGTGCGTTGTTCAGTTCATATACTGAATTTGATTGTTCAAGAGGGTCTAAAAGTAGCTAGTGAAACACTCTTTAAAATTAGAGAAAGTGTTAAGTATGTGAGAGGATTAGATGAAAGGATGGTTAAATTTCAAGATTATGTGTAAGATGCTGGAATAGACACAAAAATTGGGTTGAGATTAGATGTGTTGACTAGGTGGAATTCAAATTACTTGATGCTTGAGAGTGCAATAAAATTTGAAAAAGCTTTTGATATTCTTTAAGTAGTTGATAGAAATTATAAATATTTTCCATTGTATGATGATTGGAGGAAAAGAGAGAAATTGTGTGAATTTTGAGTTGTTTTATGAGACTACAAATATGGTATCTTATTCTTGTTATCCGACTTTAAACTTATATTTTATGCAAGTTTGGAAGATTAAATGTTTGCTGAATGAAGATTTATTGAATGAGGATGATGTTATAAAGGATATGGGTGCATGAATGAAAGGAAAATTTGAAAAATATTGGAAGAATTGT